GATCTGAGTTGGGTTATGAGGCCTCCCATCTCCAGACCCAGCCCTCGGCACCAGCAGGGGAGAAGATACTGATCTTTACAACCTGGGTCTTACCCTCATGGCCAGCTCCAGATGGCCATCTGGAGACACTGCTGGGCACTGGTCATGGCACTGTGGGAAGAGGATGGCTGTCCACCCATCAGGCAGCACCGCCCCTGGGCTGTTATCATGGAGAAAACAGACCATGTCTCTGCTCTCCTGGGGCCACAGACAGGAGGAGGTGAGTGGGGAGCCAGAGGAGAGATGAGAAGGAAGGCCAACAGAGGGCTGCTGGGGGACGGCAGGGCCGTGGGAGGACGGGAGGCGTGGCTGTCTCTCAGGAGGGCCGTGCTCGCTGACAGCCCCACTCCCTGCACTCTCCTTGCTTCTCGTCTTGACCAGTGTGGCCCAGCAGAGCCCAGAGGAGAGCCCACTCCGCTGCCGTTGGCGGTATTCTCATTCTTAGGCGTAGGTCAGATTAGCCAGCAGCATCGATGCAGGTTCCACAGACAGTGGACAAGCCCGAGAGACCCCCCAGTGAGTCTCCAGGAGAGGCTCACCAGGCTCACGAGGCTCATGAGCAGCTCCTTCCCAGGCTCCATGCACAGAGAGTGGCCTTCACAGCAGTGCGGGGAGGGACCGACGGCATGGTGCACCAGGCAGCAGGCACGGAGTCCCTGGGGGCCTCGGGGAACAGCATCTGCGCTGCTCGACGTCTCTTTGTCATTGAGAAGGCAACATCTACTTTTAAGTAATTCAGACAAGGCAAAAGACTAAGAAGCGAGAGCAAAACTGTCCCCAGCTCCCACAGACTCAGAGTGACGGGGGTCAGGGTGTGCCCCAGCTTCCCACCCACTTGAAATGGATGACTGTAGAATGCACGTGTGAACGCGTGTCTGGTAGGAGACATGCCTGTGTGCAACGCTGCACGTGTGGTCGCAGTGGACAGGTGGTTTTCCCACACAAAAGGCTTCATATGTTCCGTCCTGTGACCCCAGACTGCTGCAGGCTATGGCGTCAGCACAGGAGAGTTCTGCCTCATCTTTATGAACAGCCTAAAATTCCAGGGGTGTCAATAGTTCATTCACTTATCCAGCCTCCAAGAAGAACACTGAATTTCCCAAAATCCTCAGTTAAACACTTGTGCAGTGTGCGTACCCTGACGTATTGAAATGAGAGTCTGCACGTGGCCGAGACACATCCCTCGAGTGGAGTCCCAGGGACGGGCTGTTAGATCTGGACAGCCATCGTTCCTCCATGGAGAGCAGTGCCACAGCACAGGACGTGCCCTTTAGTCCCCTCTTGGCCCAAACAGCGATCCTGATTCTCCCTGCTCTGGTTGGAGGCCACTGACGTCGGCTCCTCTGTGTTTCCCCGGCTGCTGTCAAACCCCAGCACCTTCCTGCCTTCTTCAGCCATTTCTGGGCTTGTTTTCAGGGGTGACTTTTCGTGCGCTCCGCCTGATTCTCTCTTGTGGTTTTTCCGCGTGGACGTCTTGGTCCTTCCGCCTTAGAGCTTAATACTTCCTCTGTTGAGTAAGTTACACAGGTTTCTCCGCTTGGCATTTTATCTTTAGTTACTTTTTCCTAATACTTTTTGGCCTTGGCCTTATGCAAAACAATAATGAAAGCCTCCTCCACCCCAGATTGAGGCCTGCTCCTAGAGTGCTCCCACTTCCTCTTTTTTAATACTTGTTTTTTAGTTATAGGTGGACATAATATCTATCATCTATCTATCTATCTATTTTATGAGGTGCTGAGGATCAGACCCAGTGTCTCACGGTGCAGGCAGTGCTCTGCCTCTGAGCCCCAGCCCCACCTTCCTTATTCTTAGTCCACTAAGGATCTCCGCGGTAGGCGGCCAGTGTTTTTCTCTTCCCCAGGACTGTGCAAGGTTTCTTTGCTGATTATTGTGATTGTGTTGCCGCTATAGCTGAAATGCAGCCTTTACCCACACTAACCAGATCCCCAGAGCAGGCGGGTCTCTCTGCCCGCCGTCCGCTGGGTTCCCCAAGCCACTGGCCTGGCTGTCCACGAGACAGCACTGCCACAGCTGAGCCGCCAGTCGGCCACCCAGTCCCCTGCCTGCTCTTTCAAACCCTCCTTGGCTCTGCCAGGACATTTCTCTTTCAGCTAACGGCA